TTCTAACACTCTGAAGGCAGGGGCAGGGGAGTGGTCTTTGTGAGTTGGAGGTCATCCTGGTCTACATAGCAAGTTCCAGGACAGCCAGGGCTATGTAGTAAAATCCTGTCTCAAATATAACAGTAATAATAATTTCAGAGCTGTCTTCTGCATCTAACTCCATAACCCCATAGAAATCTGATGTCAGTAGTAGGTTTATTCTCTCTGATTTGTCGCTAAGGGAAACAAACACCGAGGCACTGAGTTCCAGTATTTGGCCCTGGGGTCCTCCAGCTGTCGCTAACAGCTGCCCGGTTTCCGACGGTCACAACGCATCCTTTGAGGAAGACGAGGGACAAATGAAGTTAAGAGTTCATGAGAGCCGGGCGGTGGTGGCGCACACTCCCAGCACTCGGGAGGCAGAGGCAGGTGGATCTCTGAGTTCAAGGCCAGCCTGGTCTACAGAGCGAGATCCAGGACAGGCTCCAAAGCTACACAGAGAAACCCTGTCTCAAAAACCAAAAAAAAAAAAAAAAAAAAAAAAGAAAAGAAAAAAAAGAGTTCATGAGAATCAGCTAGGTAGGACTTAAGAAAATATTTTAAATAGTTAAGTAAACCTACACAATTTAGGCTTTTTGTTCTTAGCTTCCAAGGCTCGTTTGGTACAATACCTGCCGCGGCAGTTTCAGTGACTAGAAAACCCTAAGGACTAGAGTAAACCACTTGTCCTCATGACTCCTGAGGGATGACAGGGCCTTCGAGATTCAAAACCACACCTGGCTCTTGGGAATGGCTCCGGAAGAGAATGGTATTAATAAGATGGCATTGACCTGATCACTTCAAAATGAAAAGGATCAGGTTTTTTTCCCCTTTGGGGCTAAATAACAAAACAAAACAACAAAAAAGTATTGTTCAGTTACAAGGAGGGTTCAGAAGCACCTTCAAGGAATCTTCATTCTCCTAGAAATTATGTGTTTGAACATTTCTAAGAGTAACAGGGAAGCAACCATCAGGCACTTGCTTGTCTTCACATCTGGAATTCAAGTTAGTGCTCTGCCCCTCCAGAGCGCGAGGCACCGTGGGTGCAGAGCAGACTGCAGGCTATTTTGACAAAGCAACCAGAGCTAAGAGATTCAGGGAAAGAAAAAAAAATTCCAGGAAGGGGTGATTCTATCGGGATTTGAGAAATTATCCTGTCCCAAGGTTCTTCGTCAGGGCCCTGGAGCACTTTGCCAAAGATGGCTCACGATAAAAAGCAGTTTGGCCCTTATGAAGGCCTAATCATAAGTGTGTGCTGTAAAGATACTTGCACCTACGACCTCATATGACTCCCACGATACAGACAGGTGAGCTGTAAGTCAGCCTGAGCTCTCCCCAAGGTCAACAGACCCTGAAATGGCAGTCTGTGGTGCAAATTACAGCCCTAAAAACACCTGCTTCTTTCTGTCCATCAGCAGCCCCGAGTTGCCTTCTCTCTGTTCCCTTGTTGGTTATGAATCACAACAGCAAGAAAATGACTGATGATACTCTTTAATTGCTACCTAAACTTCATTCTCTTGGTTAATGTAAGCATCTGACTAAATAGGAGAGTGACGCTTGGCTTTCAAACGTCAACTTTATTAGGAGGTGTAATAACGCCACATGTTGTTCGTAGGGAGACAAAATAGCCGTACAGCTTGCCTCTCTCCCTACACATCCCACACCGATGTTTTATTCCCATGGTTATCTTTTCTCATGTGTGTGTTCTGACAGTGTGTGTGTGTGTGTGTATCTGTGAACCATGTCTGCTGAGGCCAGAAGCTGAAGATTCCCCGGAACTGGAGTTACAGAAGGTTGTGAGCCGCCATGAGGGTACTGGGAATTGAACCCTTATCCTCTGGAAGAGCAGCCAGTGCTCTTAACCATTGAGACATTTCTCCAGCCTTCTGTAAATTTAAGAAAAAAAGAAAGATAGGGTGCAAATGAGCTCTTTTAGAATGGTGAAGAATCCCTACTTCAGATTTATTTGCTTGCTTGCTTGCTTTTTTTCATTCTTTCTTTCTTTCATTTTTTTTTTTCCAAGACAAGATTTCACTGTGTAACAGCCTTGGCTGTCCTGGAACTCACTATGTGCACCTGGCTGACCTCGAACTCAGAGATCTGTCTGCCTCAGCCTCCCAAGCGCTGGAATTAAAGGTATGCGGCGACACAGCCCTGCCAGATTTGTTTTCTTAAAGTCAGCGGCACCAAGACTCTTCCGAGGGTGGTTTAGTCTGAACCTGCGCATGTGGACGTTTGGGCCCCGGGGACTGAACGGGTGCCTTCTCACACGCTGAGCCGTTAGTGGGTTGTGTCTCATCCTTACCCCTTCAGTTCTAAACTCGATTTCTACAGGCCCAGGGCTATCTTGGGGGATCTCGGGAGCCCCAGAGTGGCAGCAGCTGTGAGCAGAGGCCCTGGTTGTAATGTTCTGGCAGGCCATGATCTGGAGCCCTGTCCGGGTGTCCCCATGCAAAGAGCACAGGGGCTAAGGCCCCAGCTCTTCCCAGAGCACACGCGCCCCCTAGCGGCCTGAGCCCCAATGGCCGTCTCTAGGGCCCCACGCTGGAGCACTTTGGAGCCCGTCGGTGATCAGCCCTAAAACAGCTTCAAGCTCCAAGCACAAGGAGCCCTTACGTTTAGTGCCTAAACTGAGGCTGCGCTGCTAGTTCGCGCCACATCCCACGTTTCCTCCAGCTGGCTCTAGCGATGACAGTGTCTCTGGTCTAAAGCGTCACTGGCCCGGGAGGGCCTTTTTTTTTTTCTTGGCCTGGGAGGCTAAGGCAGACATTTGCTGCGGATAGCAGGGTGGGGGCGGGGGGGGGGCTTGTCTGCTGGCTTGCGTTTCAGAGTGCACCCCGAGATCATCTCTGCGCCAAGAGGGGGCCGAGCCCCGGGAAGGGGGGAAGAACTTGTAATCGCGTGCAGCAGGACAATGCCGACTTTTGAACCTCTAACCACTAAGCAAACAACCCTTGTGCTCTTGCTCCACTGTCCAAACAGGGTTTATTGACAGGCGTTTCACGGCAACGCATAGCAACCGCGCCGCCGGCTTGTGGGCGCGGCCAGAACCCAGGGCACGCTCTTTGCTAGGGCCGGAGGCACCTAGGAGCAACGGGGATCACCTGGCCCTGAACCTGGCGAGCTCCCGCCCCACAGACGCCCACGCTGCTTCCCTCTGGGTGGCCAACTCCCTCCTCTTCCCGCTCGACCCCCTTTCCCAATCTCACAGCAAAATTCGCCCCCTGAAGGGCGGGGAAATTGGGGAGGTGCTTCCAGGGGGGTGGGGGTACATGTGTCTCACAGCCTGCCCTGCCTCCTCCCTCCGTGAGTCCTCGCCCTGTGTTAGGGCGCGGTTTAGTCCTAAATGGTGGGGTAGAGCTTCCTTTCCCGGCCTTGCCGGGAGACCTAGACACTCAGGGCCGGCAGCAGATCCACCAGATATGCATGCAGCCACTTGGATCTTCTACTGATCTTGAATTCTTGTGTTTGGGCAATGAGGGTGGGAGGATAAGGTCATTCCCGGTAGTGCTAAAGGAGTGTAGACAGAGCGGGCCCATGGAAATGCCTAGGGAGTCAGAAGACTATATACAGTCATGGAAATGCTGTCTGGAAACAACAGAAAAATATTAACCAATGCTTGTGTCCACTTCGCTGGGCTAAGGGGCATACCTGGGCGCCCCAGCCGGGGGTGGGGCGGGAGGGTGACACTAAGAAGTTGTCTAATGTTTGCGTTGAGAAGGGAGCTGAAGTCCTCTTTCCTCACCCCCATGGTTTTGTAGCAGCTGGACAGCAGCTAGCCGCGGTGATGAGTGTTTTGTTTTGCCCAAAGGCACCCCCAGGAAAACCACACATTCCACAGCCCAATGCTGGACTGAGGCGTGGGGGCGGGGAAGGACTCAGAACCTGCTCCTTCGGGCTTCTGAAGCTTTGGGATAAACGAAGGCTGCCAGGAGAACCTTCTCCACCTTCTTCCTTATCACCCCCCTCCCCTCAACTTTTAGCTTGCAGTCAGAAGATATTTTATTCTCTAGGGGGGAAAAAATCAGTCAAACTCCAAAGACAAAAAATTCCAGCATCTGAAATCTGTAAAGTTCGTTTATCTTTTGTCTTTTTAGAAAATAAAAGTCGACTGTGTTCGGATACCCCAACTTCCCTTCACCATATGACTTCTCTACCCACGGCTTTTTAAAAGGCTGGCCTAGCTTGTGACGCCGCCGATCAATGACTCCAACAGCAGCAGCAACTCCGTTCTCCAGCAGCCAGAGACCAGGGCAAGGACCGGAAGTCCAGGTTGGCTCTGGCATTTCCAACACGGACATGCATTCAGCCTACCGCAGCTCTGGTGACAGGCTTTCCAAACAAGCCCGGGGTTGGCTAGCCACCCCCTCCTCTCCCCGCCGCCACGGCTGCCGCCGCCCCTGAACCCACCAACCCTTCCTGGTCTGCAAGGCAGAGGAAAGCACAGACCACCTGGGGGTTCTGCAGACTTTGATCGGTCCAGCCTTCCACCGCAGCTGCCTCTGGCTCCTGCAGTTTGAACTGTCCCTGGCCCTGAGGCACGACGGCCAGCTGGTTCTCAGAAAGCAGTTAGCAGGAAACAGCCATCTCGGCTCAAGTATTGCTCATTCCCCAGCCTCACCCCCTCCTCAGCTCCAACCAGAAATACAGTCCGTGTTGGAGGCAGAGAGCTGGGGCAAAAGAGGCTGAAATATTTTGGTGCCGGTAGCCAGTCCTGGCAGCGATCATTTCCTCTGTCAGGAAGAATCAAAATGGAAAAAAGTAAAAAAAAAAAAAAAAAAAAAAACCAAAAAACTGGACCATCTCTTCCCCTGAGGCCCACAATCAATCCCACTTGTCTTAATACGTCTTCCCCATTCTTCATCTGTAGGCATTGTTGGTGGGTGGAGGAGAGGGGTCTCTTCTGAGGATGCTAGCAGCGTCCATGCTCCTCACTGCTCAGCCTGGAATTGCTCTGCCGCCGCTACAGGCCATGGGAGGGGTCACTGGGTGACAGTGGGGTTTAACACCCCTCCAGCTGGCCCCAGGACCCCAGAGACAGAGCCGGGCACCGAGCCTTGCAGCGAAGACACAGGACTCAAGGGCTCGGGGACGCTCCTCAGGGCGCCTGGCTGAGGCTGCGCCGGCTGGGGCGGAGGGGGTGCCGGCGGCGGCGGCTGCTGCTGCTGCTGCTGCTGTTGCAATTTCTTCTTGTTGATTTTCCTTTCCTTGGCTCTGCGGTTCTGAAACCAAATTTTAACCTAGAAATGACGAAACAAAAGGTAGAAGGTATGAAAAGAGAAACAGCACCACCAAGATCGTCCTTTTCGCCCGCCCGCCCGCCCGCCCGCGGCGGAAAAAGCTTCCAGCCCTTCCAGAAGTTCCCAGGTGCCACCCCCCACCCCCCCATCCCCACTGAGCTTCAGCGCAATGATGACGCTTTCCCCGACTCAACTCAACCTGCCTAGAAGCCGGCGGCTCGTTCCTTGCCCACCCCTTCCCCATGTTGCTTTCCAAAAGAGCCTTTTGGACTCTCAGAACCAAGGAACAGAACTGGGCTGGCAGGTCCTTCCTATGCAGATGGGTGGCCGGCTCAGGTGTGCTTCGCCGGGCATCCTTTGGACCTCATAAGCGGCCATGTTCTTCACCTTGGTGCTGGCAGTGAGATTTCGTGCAACATTTCCCGGCTGTGAATTTGCCCCGTCTTGTTTCCTCTTCCTTTTCTCTAGACTCGAAAAGCGTTCATGCGCCAAGTAGTACCTCTTTGTTTTTTTTTAAATAAACAGTTTTTATTTTTAATTATGTGTATGTGTCAGTTTGTGCACGTACAGAGTGGGAATACTCACAGAGGCCAGAGGCACTGGATGACCCCTGCAGCTGGAGTTACAGGTCAGTGTGAGCCACCACCTGATGTGGGTGCTGGAAACAGAACTCAGTCCTCTGAAAGAGCGCTGTGTGTGTGCTCTTAAAGAGCCCCTGCCTCTTTAACATGTATGGGTAGATTGGGCCTTTATCTTTCTTATTTTTTTTTTCTAGTGCTGGGTGTAAAGAGAACATATCCTAATACAGTGCTTCTCAACCTTCCTAAGGCTGTGGCCCTTTAATACAGTTCCTCACGTTGTAGTGACTCCCCATGGTAAAATGATTTTTGTTGCTACTTTGTAACTAATTTTGCTCCTGTTACCAATCCTAACGTAACTATCTCTGGACCCACAGGTGGAAAAGCACTCTCCTAATAGATCTTTCTTGGCCCAAGTGGCGTTCCATACCGCAGTAGCGCCTTGGCTCTTTTGTTGCGGCTCTCAGATCCCTCAAAATAAAAAGGCAATTCAGGAACATCAGAAACACAACTGGGAACTCAAGCCTTCTCAAAAGGCAACTAACTGCTCTCTTCCCTCTTCGCGGAGGAAACGGGTGGACTCTTGGCCAGGCTTCCCGGGGCTACGTGTCAGTCCCCACGCCACCCCCCACGCGATGATAATAATAGCCAGACGACTCTGGGGAGGGGATTCCCACCTGCCTCTCTGAGAGCCCCAGCGTGGCAGCCAGCTCAGCTTTCCGCCTGATGGTGATGTATCGACTATAGTGAAACTCCTTCTCCAGCTCCAGCCGCTGATGGTCTGTGTACACCACTCGGTATTTGTCTTTCGTCCTGGTTTTCACTGTGGAGGAAGGAGAAGTTTTGGCTAAGAACTACAATCCATCAGTCATAGGTAATGACAAACCTCTCTAACCCGGGAGCTATTTCTCTTTCTTCACTGGTGGGGGTGAGGGGGAGCAGGTTTGACTGTCCACTGCCAAGACTGACAATAGCCACCTCAGGATCCTGGGGAAGTGGAAGGGTGGAAACCTCTCACACAGCCCCCTCCTTCCCATAAACCAAATATAGTATATTTAGGACCAGAAGAAAGGGAGTGGGGGGGTGGTGGCCAGAGTCTCCAGGTGTATGATATCCACATTTTCAGGTTTTACTAGAAATGTAAACCCCTGGGGCTGTGGTGCCAGGGTAAGCTGCTAGTCACCTTTGTTTCAGTATGGCGGCGGCAAGATGGGCGCAGGGACTGGCAGCCTCCTGAAAGCCCCCGGGACCATATTCCAGCCGCAGTAACTCCTGCCCTGGAATTCTGAGCTGGGCTCCGTCATGTCAGGAGGAAAATCCCTCCTACTGAGAACATGTCATGCCTGCCCAACCAGGTTTGGCCCAAGGCCTCTTTTCTTTTTTAATTCCCCATTTATTCCCTGTGACAACGATCCTGACCAGTGACCTATGATCATTGGATTGAGTCAACATATTAAATCTTGGATTGATTGTTTTACTGAAGGGCCTTGACAAATAGCGCGGGGCTGCGGCATCAGGCTGGAGCCTGCCTCTTCACCGGGTCTGTCGGGCTTGCTTCTCCACAGAACGCTGGCCAGGAACTGTTCCCGGTCCCAAGGTGGAGAGGTCTCACAGCAGAACAGGCTTTAGCGCCCAGTGCCTGGTCCAACAGGGAGATCTAAGGGGTGGGAGTTCCCCAGAGGTGTTTAAGGCCCGGCAGGCTGACTTTGTTCAGGTAAAAATCTTTGCAAACCACAACAAAAGCGCCCTGGGAGGATACAGGAGGATCAGAGAGAGCTCCCCCGGCCTCTGAGAGAGGAACACAGCCGCAAACAATGCAGGACAAGGCGATCTTATCAAAGAAAAGCCCTTTCAATGCCTTAATAACAACCGCATTCTGTTTGAATTACCACTACTGAGCAAATGGCGGCCTCAGCTTTCATCCCCTTCCCCGCCAGGCGCATTAACATAAACACAGCCCCGCAGGCGCATTTGAATGGGCGCTGCGGCCCCGACCCCGCGCCTGCTCTGGAAGAAAAGGGATCCAACACATCCTGAGCGTTCACACCAGCTACGGCCTGAAACCCACTCGCGAGTGCCCCACTCCACAGAGGACGACAGAACCCGACCCGGGTGCGCAGCCGGAACAGCGCAGCACTTGGAGTCCTGCGTGAAGCCATCAGAGCTGGGAAGTGAGGCGCAGGACAGTTCCCCTCGGCGGTCCAAGCCCTAGGATGGATGCTGCGGGTTCAGCATAACGCGCAGGCCGAGGAACGCAATGATAAGGACTCTGCGCGCTCTGAGGTCCTCGCCCCCAAGGGCCTTGGAGGAGAGGCCCCGCACCCCCTGGGAACCAAGGAGGGGGGCTGGAAGAGGGGAGGGATGAGAAGGAGTTGTCAGAATTCATTATTGACTGCGAAAGTCACCACCCTCTTTCCGGGCCCTAAAAGAGACAATGGCCGGCCTGAAAAGGTGTACATCAAAGCCGACCGGGCGGCGTACACGCCTCTGCCCCTTGACAGATGACGCTCTGCAGAGAAGTAGGGCTCCGGCGCTGCGGGCCACAGCCTCCCCATATTAACATCACAAGGGCGCCCGGCGCCGACAGCGGCCTTGCCACCTCGGCGCGGGACTTCACAGCGGCCTCTCATCTGCTGACCCCGCGGCCTGGGATCCTGAGGTTATCCTCCCCCGCCCAGGACCCCAGTCTCGGACCACCCACCCCCTGCACGCTAAAGGTCTTTCGTAGGTCTAAGACCCCCGCCCACTGTCCTTCAGGCAGGCTTGTTGGAAGGGAAGGTTTGGGGGGGGCGGGTAAGCTCAGGTCTGGGAGTAAGTCCTCTTGGAAATGACCAAGCCAAAGCCCAGTGGAGGCTAATCTGGAGGCTTCTCTCCGACGGCATCGCCCACCAGGAACGCTCCTGGGGTGTGCGCAGTGACGCAGGAGAGTCCAGAGACAGGCCCCCAAGTGCCGCTCTGATTTATACGGCTGTAATTGGCCATAAACCTCCGCAAAGTGGCCATAACCTGCATGTGGCCCGGCTGTAGTGACAAGAAACCAACCGAGGGAAGCGGAAGCCAGGAGCTGGAGAAGGTTGGCGGAACAAAAAGGGGGCTCCGATACCACTCCCCTGTCACACTTTCCCCACTCCCCATACACATCGGGACCTCACAAAGGGCAGAGCCGGCGCCAGCGAGTCCCACAGTCCGGCAAATCTAGGGTCTTTAGTGGAATTATCTCCCGAGTCTGGAACACACAACTCGCGGAAGGTTCGAGAAAAAAATGCCCCACGTCTGAAGAAGCCGAGTCCGTTCAGGGTTTCCTCCCCCTGCTCCTGGCTCTCTGTGATGACAGGAGAGGACTTCCGTGGGAGATTTTGCTTAGCAGAAGGAAGGGTCAGGGATCCTGGAGCGCCCCCTTCCCCTTAGGCTCCTGGGGCCAGCGCCTTGGCTCCGGCGGTGACGGCGGCGCACAGTAGCGTCCAGTCTCTGCTCGCAGCAGCGCTGACCGCTCGAATTGGCCCTAATGGCCAAACCGGTCCTGGCGCAGCCTCCACACTACCCTTTTCGGGGTACCTCAGGTGGAGGAAGGACAGTGGGGAGCTAAGTAGTGTAGCCACGGTAAGGGGAATCCGAGGACCCCTCTTCTCGGCTGGGAGCTGTGTTAGGAATGCCTGCGGCAGCAGCGAACTCCAGGACGTGATTCAGCTCGCGGCCGACAGTGCTTACGACATTGCCGGGAGCTTTTGAAGGTATCCCGAGGTTGCCAAGAAGGAACTGTTAGAAAGAGGAAACCGTTCCTCTGCCCTAAACAAACCCTAGTGTGCGAGGCACAAAACACGCACTTCTGGGACCGCAGTCGGTGAAAGCGCCCCCCACCAGGAGTCCATCCCTGTGTTTTCCCCTTGCTCCTCCTCCTCCACTGCTCGCAGACCGCCCGGGACAGCCCCGGTGCGCGCGGGACCTGGGGCGCGCCCCGGCACCGCTTACCTTGGCTTCCCAGGGACGGCTGCGCCGGCTTCCGCATCCACTCGCACAGGTTTCTCCGCTGGCCGCCGGGGGACAGCTGCTCAGCGGCGGGGGTGGCTGTGGGCCCCGGAGGGCCGGGGTTGAGCGTCTGCAGCAAGCCCGAGGCGCAGGACGGCGCTGCGGCCGGATGGTGCGGGTGGTGATGCGGGTGGTGGTGAGCGTGGTAGTCGGCGGGGCTGCTGTAGCCCATAGCGGCGGCCGGGGAGCCCCCGTTGAGGCCGTGGGCTACCGCGTTGGCCGCGGCAGCGCCCCCAGGCGCGTAGCCGTTCCAGTCCTCGCGGAGAGGGGCTCCGTATGCAGCGGGCCAGGATGGCCCTGGCGACTGAGCGCTGTCCAAGTTCGCCGCCGCAGCCGCCGCAGCCGCCACGTGGTAACCACCGTAGTCCGGGTACTGCGGGGGGCTGACAAAGTTCTGCGGCGCCAGGTTGAGGCCGCCGGAGTGGCGCACGGAGCTGGGGTACATGCTCACGTCCTTGTCTAGGAGGTAGCTCACGTACATGGTGGCGAGGGACCCAGAACAGACCTCACCATGCTGCCTGGGGACGAACGCTGGAAGCTGCCAGGGGCGCGGGGCTCAGAGGGCTATGGATGAGGGGGCGCAGCGCAGGGAGCTGCGGGTGGCTGGCTGCACCTCAGCTCACGGTGCTCCGCTAGGCTCCTTGCGGCGCTCCTGCCTCCCGGGCAGTCCCTCCCTCTGTCCTGCCTCCTCCCTCTCTTCCTCCTTTCCTCCCACCTCCTTGCCACTAGGCTGCGGAGGCGGGGAAGACCCGCCACAGGTTGGCTTGCGGAGTCCCAGGCCAGCAGCAGCCTTACGTGATTAACGAGTGTTTACAAGACTCTATTAGTAATGACACAGACACCAATGGCTGGAGACGTCGAGGCGCAGCGCACAGCGCTCACAACCCCCCAGAAACACGATTTGCATTTTAAAAGATAAGGCGGGGGGGGGGGAGCTCCAGAGAGGGCAGCAACCAGATCACAGCTAAATATTCAATCCTTTATTGTTAAAGAGCTTCCTCCTTCCAACCTGATGCACTTTAAACCTCCAATCACAGGTTCAAAGAATGAAATCAAGGGACTTGCAAGAGCCTTGAGGAGAGAAAGCAATCTTGGTGGGAATCTGGGTTTAGAGACGGGAGCAGTCCTGTTCACGTAATCGCAGGGAGGAGGCGGTCAAGAAACTCTCGTTCCCAAAGAGAAGAGAAAAAAGAAGCCATCGTTTGGAGGACATTTCTGACCAACCGAGGAGGTGACTTGTGGAATTAAGACCAGGGCTGTTCTTTTCCTCTCCAAGAGGCAGGATGAGACTAACCGCCGCCGTCCCAAATTTCAAGCACTGCGTTTATTTCCTTGCCAAAGATAAAAGATAGTCCTAGCTCCAGGTTGCGTCCTCGAATTCGTCTCACACTTAGGATTTGAGTTCAATTAAAGCAATTCATTTAAAAAGTATTGCATTAAAGAACCGAATACCTCTACAAAGCCACGATATGTTTGGCAATGGCTTACCTCGCAAGGCAGGCTGTAATTGGTGGGGTCTGAAGGGATGGTTAGGATCTCGGTAAATTTCAACCATTTACACTTGTACTTTTATTAAAACTATTTACGAGTTGAAACATCAAGGAGCATATTTCTGTTAACAGCTACCCAGTTACTGTTGTCTTACATCACGCCTATGTCTTAAAAACACTTTCTCCTGGGGCCTGGAGAGATGTCTAAGCCGTTAAGAGCACTGGCTGCTCTTCAGAGGACCCGTGTTCAATTCCCAGTATCCACCTGGTGGCTCACAACTGTCCATAACTCCTGCCCAAGGGGATCTGACGCCCTCTTTTTACCTCTCTGGGCACCAGGCACATGAGTGGTGCAGACAGATGCACACAGACAAAACACTCATACCCATAAAATAATACACAAATCTTTGAAAACATTAAATTAGTTTAAAACAGCACTTTCTCCTTTACAATGTAAAACTCTACAGAAATTCGTTTTCATCCCAGGGAACGAAGAGGTTGCTGTCACTACTAACTATTGCTAGTGAGCAGCCAATGCTCACATGGAGACCTGAAGGGCTCCACAGCAGAGCCTTTGAGATGGGAGAAGGCCACCTGACTGCACCAGGCATGCGGCTCTGTGATGTTGGGGCTGCTACTTCAGACACGAGGTCACAAACTGCCCACGCTGGGCATCTCCACTCTCCTCTGGCCAGTGGTGGCTGGAACCCAAGGGGACCCATTGCATTCCTTCCTGGAGCCCTGCCCCTGTGGGTTCTCTGGTCAAGTGCTTCCCTGGGTATTCGTGGTTACACACACACACACACACACACACACACACACACACACACACACACGAGGGGGGCACTTTCCAGGGTCCTTTATCTCCTTTGGTCCCCACCTCATGTATCTCCTACAACTGTAGGTGTTTGTACATTCTTCCTACCCTTTGTGTTTTGTGAGGAAAGTTAAAAGGGGGGGGGGCGGTGAGGGGTGTGGCTGTCCCTCAAGAGTCCAGGGATAGCCCTCCTTAAACCCTCCTGGGTGGGTACCTAGCAGAAACAAGAGTGCCATCTCACTTTCCAAGAAACAAACCTGGAAATAAATATAAAACCCTATCACAGACTTTCTGCGAGAGCAGAAAGGAGTGTCCACGGTCTCCACGGGGCGGCCGGAATGTGGGAGGTTAAGTAGTGGGCGCTGCAGACTTTTGATCTTGGGAGCATCGTCCTCCCCTTCCTGGGACTCCATACCTCTTTCCATCCTCCACGTCCCCTCCCAGATGCATGCTCTGGGAGCCCAGGCCCAGACTGGGGCTCAGCCTGTGTCTTTAGAACGCCTGCATTCTGGCATTTCTTTGAAACAATCACTTTATTAGGGACAGCCATTCCCTCGGCCCTGTCGCAGTGGCTACTTCCTGAGTTTTTATGGCCCGGGCTGCCAGCCGCTGGCTAATTGACCCGGTTTCCCAGCTGTGTCCCAGCTCTGCCACAGAAAAAGGACTCCAGCTTGGGTGCTGGTAGGGAAGCAGATGGGGTTACTCTGCTCCCCTAGGGCCAAGCAACAGGGGAGCCTGAGTTTTATTTGGGGTGCTTGAATCCAGGAAAGGAAGTGATACTAACAAGGACTGGTTTTCCTCCTGGCAAAACCTGGGCACCCCAGCCGGAGCAGCCCGAGCACGGTGGTGGCAGCGGCCGTCTGGGCTGTTTGGAGAGGAGAAGGGGGCTGATAAAAGGTGTCCTTTGACAAGTTCTTCAGAGTGCAAATGTTGCTAAGCCTCCTTCTCCTCCGTGCATGGGTTCCCCTCTCAGCCTAAAAAAGGCCCAGCTGGGTCCCCCAAAGGGACAGGCTGTGAGAATGATCTGACTTGGGAAGGAGGTAGCAAATGAAGCCTGAACGTCTGTCCACTGGGACAGTTCTAGCAGGTTGGCAGGTTGGCGGGCCTCGCCTGTCCTCTAGACATGCCCTCTGGGCTGAAACGCATCCTCCAGACAGAGTGCTGGCCCACAGCTCTGGCATAAAACAGAGCAGAGTGGCACCGGAAGTCCCTCTCCAGGCTCCCGTACTTAGCAGCTTAGCAGCTTTCTTGGAGTTTTTTAGTCTGAGCTGAGACTAGCAGGGAAGGACAGCTCTGGGTGTCCCCCACTGCGCCCAGGTGGCTGTCTTCCACGTAATATCTCAGTCACCAACCCTTCGTGTTGCAGAGGCGTGAGCTGCCAGGAGAGTGGGAACGGGGGGGGGGGGGATCCCGGTAAATAAAGCCACAGGAAGACTTCCCAGACAGCCAACCTGGTTATCAAAGGGATGGGTCTTTGTTACCGACAGTGTAAGAGGCCATTCTACATTCCTTGAAGAGGGTCCCTTTTCAGGATCCAGGCTGGTGGCCTGGGCAGGGACTCTGAAGGAACTGTAGGCTACCGGAAGGGGCGGACTCCCCACTAGGCAGATGAGGCACTCCTTAAACCCACAGATCACGGACATGGCTCCCTCCCTGCTCAAAGGTCCTGCTGTTTGTTCCAGCTTCAGGGCCTAGCCTCTGTCCCACATTTGCGGTGCCTGCAGCTGGGGAGTGGGTTACCCACCTAACCCAGCCTGTCTCCGCCCACCGTAGCGTGAAAGTGTCCTTTCTGAGTCCCACGTAGACAAGACTGATCTCAGTAATGCAACCCACTCATTTAAAACCCGAATCCCCAGGAAGAGCAAGAGTTTCTGGTGGGTTCTCTCAGCTGTCTGTCGGGCAGAGTTCTGCCAGGTGGGGCGGGGGCACTGCTCAAACTTCTACTTCACTGGGAGCTTGGGGATCTTTGAGCCTCTCTACTCAATGGCAATCCACTCACACAAAGGAAGATGCAATAATGCATGAATTGACCCCAGCAACAGCACCAGGCCCTGCCTGCCGCAACCCACTCAACTAACATCTCCGGGAAGGAAGTCGATTGCTCTTTCTATAGGGTTCCCCAGAGTCTGACACCTGTCCAGCACGCTAGGCTACAATGGACCCAAGTGTCCATCCAGAGCAGCAAGGAGGTGCTCCAGCTGCTCGCAGCTGCCAGCAGAAGCAGATGTGGTCTCAGCTGGCAAAGGAAGCTTGCTTTCCTCTTAAGCATACCGGGTACCGGGTCCTCTCCAGCTAAGGGAAGCTTCCAGAATCTGTGGCAGGGCATTGTGGGCTGGGATGCCCGAGCTTAGGAGAGTCACAGCTGCCTTATTCCTCTCCTGGAGGGACCACCAAGCATTGTGATCCAATGCAGGGGATACAGCTTTGTCCTGCTGTTCTGTCCAAAATACAGTCTCACAGCCAGAAGGTCAAAGAAAATAAGGGTGTTGAGAAAAAGGAGAAATGTGTGGCTTTAGAACACTTTTTAGAATGTTTTTACTCATTGGATGAAAGTTAAACTAATAATCACAATAACGTATCTTTCTCCTTTGTTCCAAAAATTAGTGTGTGGATACTGGGAGCACTGGGCAACTCCTTTGATTTCTATGTGGCAGATAAGAACAGAAACTGACCAGAGCTTTTGGAAGGGAAAGATTTAAGGGGTCTCACAGGCTGGGAAGCACTGGGGGGAGTTAGTATCTCAGGCTCACCCTAGAAATTATTACCAGTGGCCTCCTGTTAGCCAGTGTTCACTCACCATTGTCTCCTGCCTGGAATGACCTTTGTTTATCATATGTAAATCTCTTCCAAGGAAAGCCTATGAGGTAGGTTTTATGTGGCCAGTGCGGGAAGAACGCAGACAAACCTGTCTCTCTCTCAATTCGTATCCAGGGTGCCTTACCTGAAGCAGCGTGGTGGTGGTGGTGGTGGTGGTGGTGGTGGTGGTGGTGGTGGTGGAGGAGGAGGAGAATATGGTGGTGGTGGTGGTGGTGGTG